GCTGGGCCAAACCCTGCCAGCCCCATGGCTGAGCCTTGGGTCCCTTCCCAGCCGCTGGCTGGCAGCTCCTCCCTGCCACCATCCCATCCCACAGCGGGGATGAGCACTCGCCTGGGTGTCACTGCGGTAGGAGAAGTTTCCCACGAGGGCACCGTTGGCCAGGACTTGCCGGGGAGGGCTGGTGACGCCCAGCACGGTCACGGCCTCCAGCAGGACCCCATCGAGGTGGGCACTCGCCCGCAGGAGCTGGCTGAGCACGGCACCCTGCGGGGACAGCAGGCCGTCACCCCGTGGTCCCAGGTCCCAGCCACCCGCACACACCCAGGGCTTCTCGACGTGCCCTGGCCAACGCGCTGCTCACCTGCAGGGCACTGAGCCCGGGGCGCCGGGCGGTCTGCGGTCACTCGAGAGTGGCAAAGCCATTTATCAGAGGGACGGGGCAGCACTGTGCGTGCAAGAAGAGAGCAGCCAGCTCCACGGCACAGCCTGTCCCCCTTCTAAGGGGGCTCCTGGGGGGTACAGCCCCCATAGGACACCATCACCCAGCCAGTGCTGGGTGCCAGACGTTCAGTCTGGCACTTTTGACACGACGCAGCTTGGCTGCACCAGGGCACGGTGCTGCCGGTGACCACATGTGCACCAGGGGCACCAGGACCTGCGTGTGGCAGCGAACACCCATGCCCAGATGCCCCCCACCAGCAGCCCTCCTCGCTCACGTGCGTGGCCAGGAAGAGGATCTCGGTGTAGTCCCCCTTCTCAAAGGTCTGCCAGCTCTCCCCGTCGTCCCAGAACAGGTCTCCCCTGGCAAAGCCGTCCAACGTCAGCGCCACGACCAAGGCCATCCCCTTCGTGCGGGACTCGGTGGTGCTGAACGCAGGCTCCTGGGGCACAGGACCGGGCACAGCTCCGAGCGCTGCCGGAGCTGCTTTCCCCCAGCCCTGGCTGAGCACTGCAGGCTCGTAGCTTGTTCAGCAATGTCCACTCTGCCAGTGACCGCGTTGCAGCCCTCCGCCCTGCCCCATGGTGTCACCACAGTGCAGAGGGGACTCACCTGCAGGGGCAGGATGTGCCCTGCGCGGACATGGACGTTAACGGTGTCCAGGGGAGCTGGCAGGAGGATCCACTGCCCTTTGCTGTGGATGGTGGAGTCCTAAGTGACAACAAAAAGAGGAAAGAGCAGGCGTAGAGTGCAGTGTGCCCAAGTGGGTCCCAGCCCAGCGCTGCGGCCCTCAAACAGCCACGAGC